GCGACGAACGTCTGCTGGTCGTGGACCCGGACGAGGAGTACGTCGCGCTGCTCCTGTCCGAGGAGAGCGTGTCAGGCGGCGGCGGCGGCACCCCGGCGGAGGTGGAGGAGTGGATGAAGGCCGCGCGCTCCGGATGCGTCAGCTGGATCATCAAGGTCGTTCGCGCGGGAGCTCTTCCTCCTTCGTCGTCCCCCAGATTCGGTTTTTGCCAATGTTCATCTCTTGTTTTGCTGCTCGCAGACCACGGCGACGTTCCGGTGCGGCGGGAAGACCGCCTACGTCGCGGTCACTTACCTCGATCGCTTCCTGACGCAACGGCGAGTCAATGTAACTACCGATCAATAACCCTGCATTTCCCATTGCCGTCGCCATTGCTGGCCTCTCCTTCAGTTCTCGCGTGTTTGGATGATGTACTGACTGCCTGTGCACTGCGGCTGTCTCTGGTGATGATGGGCTTCAGAGGGGGCAGGAGTGGGCTTTGCAGCTACTCGCGTTTGCGTGCTTGTCGCTGGCGATCAAGATGGAGGAGCAGCACGCGCCGCGGCTGTCGGAGTTCCGGGCGGACGCGTACGAGTTCGACAGCGCGTCCATCCAGCGGATGGAGCTCCTCGTCCTGTCCACCCTCGAGTGGCGGATGACCGCCGTCACCCCTTTCTCCTACATCAGCTGCTTCGCGGCGCGGTTCCGGGAGGACGAGCGCCGGGCGATCCTCGTGCGCGCCGTGGAGTGTGTCTTCGCGGCGATCAAAGGTTGCTCCTTTTTGCCCCTCCCATGCATTTCCTTCCGTTCCACGGAGTAGGATCGCGGCCGCAGCTGATCTTCATTTGCAGCAATGAGCTCGGTGGAGTACCGGCCGTCGACCATCGCCGTGGCATCCATCCTCATCGCGCGCGGCAAGGAGGAGACGCCCGCCGGCAATCTGGACGCGCTCAAGGCGATCCTCGGCTCATCATGTCCGCATCTAGACACCGTAAGCCCCTCCAGCCGTGCTGCCCACCGTGTCTGTCCGTCGTCTTCTCGAGTCTCTTTCGGGAGGCTGTTGGCGGAAAGCGCAATGATGAGTAACAAATGCGGCCGCTGTTGGTGTCTGGCAGGGGCATGTGTACTCCTGCTACAGCGCGATGGTTCAGGAGGACGACAAGTCGCCGACGCGCTCAACGTCGACGGGGTTGGCGTCCTCAGGCGTCTCTGTCGCCGCGCACGCCGGGAGCGGGAGCCCCGGGCCGGGCGCCTCCGTGTCCGTGGGCGCCAATAATGCCGCTGGCACCGCCACGCCGGACAACCACAACAACAAGAGGAGACGGTTGCGCTCACCTCAGCGACAGTAGGAGCTGCTGGGCAGTGACGGCAGTGCAGTCCAAACCATTTTCTTTTGCTGCTGATTGTTTCTTCGTTCAGGGAGGGGTGGCCAAAATGCCCGAATCCAAGCGGGTGCGAGATTTGATTCTTCGGATTAGTGCGGTGTCAGCAGGGTGATTTTGTGATTTAGTGCTGGAAAGATCTTTTGTTTTGAGGAGATCTTTCCCGGGATCAAAGGGGGCGGCAGTGTAGGACCAAAGCTGAAACAGAGCAAAGCTCTTGCTCAAAGCGTGAAGGCCTCAGACAGACCTGACCTCACAGGGGTACCTACCGTGGTGAAAGTGAAGTCAACGAGTCGGAGTCAATTGTTTTTTGTGTGAATACCTTCTGTACTGTACCAGCTAGTCCGTCTGTCTGTCCTCTATCTTTCTCTGTTTATTAATTAATTATTAAATTAATTATTAATAGCCTGTCACTGCATCAGTGACAAGTTAACCATATATTATTGTTTCACTTGGTTATCTTGGGCCTTGTTTAGTTTCGCCAATTTTTTTTAAATGGTATCGTAGCGCTTTTGTTTGGTAATTAGTGTCCAATCATAGTCTAATTAGACTTAAAAGATTAGTGTTGTGAATTTTGTCTAAACTATGTAATTAGTTTTATTTTTTATTTATATTTAATGTTTCGTGTATGCGTTCAAAGATTTGATGTGATAAAAAATCTTGAAAAATTTTGTAAAATTTTGCAAACTATTGCCTGTTGCTTCACCCTCTACTCGCTAGTGCTTTTGCTCCATTTCACCTGTGACTGTGATTGATGACGAGGCCCTGCTGCTTGTTCGTTGGTATGCGTGCAATTGCCGTGCACAGCAGGCAGCTGGGAGTAGTTTAATGTTTTATCGCGCGGATCGTGAAAGAGACGCTCGTTCGCTGTGGTGCTGGTGCTGCTGCTGCTGCCTTCTTTCTGACGGCGTTGCCTTTTGTGCCGTGTCATCAAATCGCCTGCTCGCTTTGCTTGCTGCTCGCAACCATGCAGCGTAGTTGGGAGGCCGTATCGTACCGTGGATTATTTACTACTGTTTGGTTTGATGTGAGAGAAAAATACTGTTTTCGGTTGAAAATTTACGATCGTTTACGAGCAAGCGAACAGGCTGATGGTCCAGCCATGGCCATGGCCCCCCGCTGTTGTTGGGAGATGGCTGGCACTGTTCGTGCGTCTCTTTTCCTCTCGTGCACCGCATACACTGCACCCCTTCATAACTTACTGCGCCGCGTCTCATGCACTGCAAATGGTTGCAGCTGCAGCGGTAGGGCAGCTAGGCAGGTGAAATGGGGTAAGGGAGAGCCGGAGAGGCCTGAGGCCCTCCTCACTTCAGCAGTTCAGCCTCCTCTCAGTCTCAAATAACTGAAATAAGGGATTCTTGTGAACACAAGAAGATCGAGAGTGGCCTTGCAATGTGCATTGCCATTTGCAAACTGCTCCTGCGCTTCTTTAGGTCACTCATGGCCCATGCGGTCAAAAGCAGAGGGACAGGCAGGCACGAGGTGAGAGGGACACGACCTGGTAAAAACTCGATGTACTGGCGATGCTGAGCTGTCGTGCCGTGCGCCTGGCACTGGCAGCCGGCTAAAAGAAAACATTTGCGCAACTAAACGTGGCAGGACTACTGGCTGGCACTGTTGGAATTTTATTCCCAGTGGTTGCTTCGTGCTCAGGAGGTCTTCTCTCGTACTCCGTAGGAGAGGAGTAACATGCTCAGGCCAGTGCTTGACTGGTCAAAAACGTCTTGGCATCGATGGCACTGCTGACGGTAGCGATGGAAGCCAGCTGCCAGCTTGGTGATGGTGTCAATTTGTGATGTCAAGATAAGCCTGGGATGCCGGAATAAGGCTGGAGTAACTGAACTGGCAGGCCTGTGCAGTGCTAGCAGTACATCACAGTTCTTTGGGCCTTGGGGCATTGGGGCATGTTTAGTTCCTATTTTTCAGAATTTGACACTATGTAAAAAGAAGATTTCCTGTCACATCAAACTTACGGTATATATATGGAGTACTAAATGTTGACGAAATCAAAAACTAATTACACAGTTTAGTTGTACTTTGCGAGACGAACGTTTTAAGCCTAATTAGTTAACGATTGGACAATTATTATCGAATAAAAGCAAAACGGCAGTGTAGCTACAGTGTAGCTACAGTGATTCAACCGGCGCCGAATCAGCCGACCTAAACGCTGTCTTGTTTAGATTAGTTTTTTTCACTCTCTCTATCACATTAAATCTTTAGACACATATATGGAGTATTAAATGTAGATAAAAAATAACTAATTACACAGTTTGATTGTAAATTACGAGACGAATCTTTTGAGTCTAGTTAGACCATAATTAGATAATAATGGTCAAATACAAACAAAAATGCTACAGTGCCAAATACTGATTCCTACCTCTGATCTAAACCAGGGCGGTGTAGTAGTAGTATCTTCTGACGCTGGCATTTGGATTGCAACAGATTCCTGGTCAAACTTACGGAGTACTCGTAAGCGGTATCAGAAGGAAGCAGGAATCCTGCTGGATTTTATACGAGCATAAAGAAGCAGAAGATTCACAAGGCTCCTGCATCGTGATGGTCTTATCAGATCTTGGAAGCTACCGGGGGACATTTTCTTGGCAAATAAGAAACATTAAAACCCCACCCATTTCTGAGCATCTCCCTAAAAGGTTACTCTCTATCACATCGGACGTTTGAATACATGAATAAAGTATTAAATATAGACTAAAAAATAAATAATTGCACATATTACGATTAATTTACAAGACGAATTTTTTAAGCCTAATTAGTCCATGATTTGACAACGTGACGCTACAGTAAACATATGCTAATGACGACTTAATTAGACTTAATAAATTCGTCTCGCAAATTACCGAGGACTTCTCTAATTTGTTTTATTATTACTATCCGAACACTTCACGTGACATCTGATGTGACAATCCTAAACTTTATTCCCTGAATTTAAACAAGTGAAGCAAAATGACACTCCGTACGCACGTAAGTGTCAAAACAAGCACATCCGGGTGAACAACAAGATTGCCATATACAACTCCAGCCTCCAAATGTTCCAAGGAAAAGCACCAGGGAAAATAAATAAATAAATAAAGCAAAGAACAGCTACAGGAGTCCGAGGCATTTTCTAAGAATCAAGCCCACAACCATGGCTGACGCTCGGATGATGCTCTAAGATCAAATACTACATACAGGATAAAAAGGGCGAAGATTCACTAAGGCCTGTTCGTTTGACCGGAAATGAGCCCAGAAGAATTCCAAGCCGGTATCTTTACTCAATTCACAGAAGCTTTCGCTGGCCGGATTAATTCCTGGCGTCCTAATGCCCCAACCGAACGAGCCCTAAAACAGAAGCATTACCAGACAGCAGAGATATATCTTGTACACAAATGGCAATGCAGAAAACTTCATTGCCATGATCAGACTGTAGCCAGTGGCGGATGCAGGATGGGAACAAAGGGGAGCATAATGAAGATTTAGAGGTAGGGCTAGAGATTAATGATGATTTAAAGCTAAGTAACCGTGGTCTAATAAAGAAATCAGGCTCGCTAGAGTGGCTGTAGCCCCGACAGCGCCCCCTTTGGATCCGCCCCTGACTGTAGCCATGCCCAACTTCGGTTTCCGGCTGAAATTAGCTCTAGTTTCCTACGAAGACCCAACTGGTATCATCTTCACAATAGCTGCGATAGGCATGCCTATGAAACCGATAAAAATACATGCTATCCACTGGTTGAGCGTAAGAGGGGTAGTGTTTGCGAAATCGCCAAGGAACTGTATTATGATGAACTGGAAGATGACGGTGCTGCCGAGGACAGCAATGAACACGTTGTTGTTTAGAATGCCTTCAAACACATTTATCCTCTCCATTTCTCTCGAGTTCACCTCATTGAATACCTGCACAGCAAAGTTAAAGGTTAAGTTCACAAATAATCGCATCGTTAGTGCAATAAATTTAAACCGAGCACAAATGCAGACAGACCAATTCATCAGCACTTAGCTAGTTTACCTGGCAGAATACGAAGCAATTGAAGATCAGTGTGTTCAAGACTAGATCGGAGTTATCGCCCTTGATGATTCCAACAACCACTTCCCCTCTGTCTGTAGGTACCAAATTACAAGGAACTGGTAGAAGGCCTGTCCCAGGATGTTTCTCCACATAATGTTACTGATGAAGTTTCCTTTCCTTCCAACAGGTGTTCTCTTCATCAGTTCATTGTTTGGGGGTTCTGTAGCCAATGCCAGTGCACCCAGTGTATCCATGATCATGTTGACCCACAGCAATTGCACAGCAGTAAGAGGGGCACTCCCTGAATCAGCATGAATACAAACAATGAGATGTTGATTTATGAAATAAACAAAAGGACATTCAGAATACGCTCAAGCAGTACAAGGATTTCCAAACCATGAACTAATACAGGATGACAAGTGTACCTGTCAGGCAAGCTGAGGAGAAGTTTACCACCAGAGCAACCACGTTGACAGTGAGCTGAAATTGCACAAACTTCTGAATGTTGATGTACACTGATCGACCCCATTTTGCAACGGTAACAATAGTGGAGAAGTTGTCATCAAGAATGATGACATCAGCACTCTCTTTGGCCACCTTCAAGAATATGTTAAGAGTCAAAATCAAAATGGGAGTAAATAGTGAATTAACTTGAGATATCATGTAATTGATGGTGTTACTCATGGTCATGGACATCAAGATCTCAAAGATGTCGCAGCCATATAGAAGAATCAAAAAGCAAAAACTACACTATTAAATATTGCTAAAATTACTTTCCAAGATATTTGGTATCAGTGATTACTACAAGATATCAGTAATAGTTTGGTTATTGAAGGACATGGCTAGTTATTTTTAGCAATGTAAGGAAATCTCGAAATTACCTCGGTTCCGGCAATGCCCATTGCAAGCCCAATATCAGCCTCATGAAGCGCAGGCGCATCATTTGTCCCGTCACCAGTCACAGCCACAACTTCGTCGAGTTTAGTTCGAAGATGCTTGACAAGGGTATGCTTATCCAGTGGTGAAGATCTTGCCATCACCTGGTGCATCCATAGCAAAGCACAGTGGTCAATGAGCTACTAGATTTTGCAAAAGCGCACAAAGATGGGTACTAGAACTCATGAACTTACCTGTATCTTTGGTATCAGTTGAGTAAGCTCTTCTTCACTCTTGGTTCTGAAATCTGGGCCTTCTATGGCAATGCCACCTTCAGTTAAAATGCCGCATTCCCGGGCAATTGCCTTTGCCGTGTTGATGTTGTCACCTGTGACCATCCTTACGGTAATACCTGCTGACCTGCAGATGGCAACTGATTCCTTCACTCCGGGCCGGACTGGGTCTTTGATCCCCACAATGCCAATGCAGGTGTACCCATCTGTCGGGATCTGATCATTGACTGAGAACCCATCCTGAACTTCCATGTAAGCAAGACAGAGAGTGCGAAGGGCCTCATTTGCGAAGCTATCGATTGTGGCCTTCAAGTGATCAATGGTTCCTTCATCCAGGGGGACGACATTGCCTTCCTCATTCAGGTACTTGCTGCAAGATGCCAGTATGATCTCTGATGCACCTTTGCAATGTGCTCGCAGTGCACCCTCTGGGAGCTGGATTACCACTCCCATTCTCTTCTTGGCAGAGTTGAATGGCTCCACCTTTACAAGGGTGCTTGCCTTGCGCACCGCCGAAAAGTCTCCACCGGTGACAGCCCGAACTCCAGAATAGCTGTCTCAGTTGGTGTCCCCAGTATTTCACGTTTGCCATCCTGGTTCAAGACAACGTCGCCCCCAGTGTTGTTGAATATGGACTGGGAGAAATTGTCATGACAGAGTCTGGGAGTTCGGAGAACAGGCTCTTGGCATCTGAAGCACCATCCACTTCTTTGATCTTACCACAGATGCAGGCTTTGACAACAGTCATGTGGTTTGTCGTGAGAGTGCCAGTCTTGTCACTGCAAATGGAGGTTGCTGAGCCCATGGTCTCACAGGCTGCAAGGTGCCGGATGAGTGCCTTGTCATTCATCATCTTTTCATTGCAAATGCAAGGCTCAGTGTCACGGCGGCGGTAGCCCTTCAGGTACTGCCACAACGACGATGGTAACAGCAATGGCGAAGAACTCAAGCAACTCAATGCGTCATCTCCAGTCCAGCTCAAGTATGTGCCATCAATGATCTTGCGCGGAACAGGCTTTCGGTGAGCACCGCGAATGTGATGACAGCAAAGATAAGTCCTATCTTACCGATGATGGTGGCCACACCGTTCAACTTGACCTGCAATGGCGTCTCATCATCACCACCTTCGCTGAGAGTGGCCATCAGCTTCCCCCACTGAGTCCTCATGCCGATTGTCGTGACGAGCATCTTGCAAGAACCGTCCTGCACCTTCGTCCCTGACAGAAGGAATGGGTTCTCAGCATTGACGGCAACTGGCTCGCTCTCTCCGGTCAAGCTCGACTCGTTGATCAGAAGCGAGAAGCCTGACATGAACAGCCCGTCAGCAGGCACCTGATCACCAATGGAGAGGTGAACGATGTCGCCGGCGAGAAGTTCATATATTGAGAGCTTCTGCCTGTACCCGCTCCGGGTGACTTGCACCGTGATCTTCTTCTTCTCTTTGTCGAGGTCCTTGAACTGCAGGGACTGGCGGTAGTCGCTTGATGCTGTGACGAACACGACCAGCAGGATGCTGGCCACAATGCCGAGCCCGTCGTGCGCGCCCTTGGGCCATCCCTCCGTGGCGATGCCGACAATGAGTGAGACAAAGCGCGCGCTGCGGCAAGGATCATGAGTGTCATGTCCTGCAGCGCCTCCCAGACGAACCAAGAAACCACGGGACTCCGCCTCCATGAACTTGTTGGCGCCAAAGACATCCCGCCGGGTCGCTAAGCTTGTCCGCGGACGTGGCGAGGCCGTCGAGACTCGAAGTGGATAGCTTGGGCGCGAGGCCCTGGGCGCCACCATGAGATTTCAGCTTCTTCACATCATGGCCCTCGACAATAGAGCTCAGCTCCTCAGCGCAGATGCCGAAACCAGCTGCCTTGACATCGGCAGGCACCTTGTACTCACTCGGCGGAGCAATGCCTGTGAAATGAAGCGATGGTAAGATTGATGATTGAAGAAAACGATAGAAGTTTGAACTCCGGAGTCCGGACTCAGGTGGGGTGGTATCTTACTGTGGATGAACTGAAGTGCAGCCTTTGAAACAAGCACGGCAACACGCAGCTTCTCCTGAGATAGGTAAAAATATTCATTGATTGTAAGTTCTTCTTGAGATTGACACGCAGCTTACTCAAAACCCTACAATATTTTTGTTCTCAGCAAAATTTTGATAAGTTTAAAGATAGATACAGGTTAATTTAGTAAAATAAATAAATTTACAGTCGCAACACTGAACTGTTACAAAGTAACATCCATGGTGAACCATAATCTTCTTAGCAGGAAAAAAGAAAGAGAAAGGATAAGTATACCATTGTGAAATAACTTTTTATGAACAATCCACCAATATTTTTTATGCGACTAAAATTCATAGTGTCACCTATACTGGCAGTAAACAATTAGGTGCATATCTGAAACATAGATTCCAAATATGGCCTAAAATGCTTGATTGGATGCTCTCTAGGGAATATTGCAACCTGCAGAAATAAAAAAGACTAACACACAGCAAGGTTCTTTTCCACATAGTAGCCCGGAGTTTAATAATAAAAAATAAAATAGAAGACAAACACGTTTGGTTTCTGTTCATGATCAGTACTTTGCATATAACATATTCCAGCAATCAGGGCAGTTTCATGTTCGCTGGAAAACAAAGTGGTTGAGAACCTGATCCACGCTTCTATTAGTCAATTGCAGGTGCAGTTTAGAGGTCGCTTTCAGAGTCTGGGAGAACATGACGTTTCATATATTCTTATATATTTGGCTTTGGATGTGTTGTTGTCTGCACTTTCCTTGTGTAACCCAGACGTATTATAATATTGTGGTCTTGTGTTTCATAATGTCATATGGTAATTAAAGTAAGGTTATGATCACCAACAAACTGTGTGCAGCATTAAAAATATGCTGCAGAACTTTAGGGGAAAGATAAAGAAATTGCTGCAGAAATTTCGAAAAAGTATATAAAAAAATACTGCGATGTCCTTCCTATCTGAACTTATTATCCTAGCAATTGCATCGACCAATCTTCCTTTGAAACCGTGAGCAGTACTAGTCTTATACCACTTGCAAAAAAACGCGGAAAAGATCTACCCACTGGGTTCTTTCTGAAGTCAGACTCATTCTTAGTAGTGGTTATTGGCACGCTCCATGTTTCCTTTTTGACTGAAATCCTGCGGCGCACACCTCTTTGAACAAATCAACCTAACTTTGACCGACTCTGTATCTAATTTCGCAACATTTATTTTTTTTCGAGACTATAAACAATCGCATTACCCACTGGCATCAGCTAAATCTTAGGCATCAGAAGGATAAGATACGATGAAATTTTAGCTAAGAAAGCGCTAACATTGGCATGAACATTCAAATTGCAGCGGCGGCCTGCAGAGCAAGAGCAGGAACCGGCGCTGCTGAAGCAGGGGGAAGCGCAGGGAGCAGAGATCAGGGAGGAGGGAGAAAAGGCTGGCACGTACATAGTTATTTCGCTTCATGGCGGTGGCCTCGTTGCGCTTGTCGAGGTTGGCCGTGAAGCGGAAGCGGCGCTTGGGGGTTCTTGACGACGCCGACGACCTTGCGCCATCGTCGCAGCGCCTCGTCCGACGAGTGCTTTGGCTGGACGCCCCCGAAGTTCTCCTTGAGGTAGCTCTCCATCTCGCTCGGCTGCCGGATTCGAATTCCCTCTCCCACCAACCCAACCTGCCGGGGCCGCGTGCGTATATATTTCACGAGGGGGGGGGCGCTCTCTCTCAGCTCAACCGCGTGGGCGTGGGGCCGTGCCGTTGACGCGTAAGGACGTGACGGCGACTTCTGGCGTGGGCAAGCACATTGCCGGAAGTTGCGTCGCGCGCTGCTGAGGGAAGGAAGGGAAGGTGCGCTGCGCGGTGGTTTGCTCGGATCCGACTCGACAGGAGGACGCGAGGAGAGAGGATGGAGAGACGGAGAGGAAGTAGCAGGAGGGTGCTTTCTGCGCTTCTGGGCATTTTTGTGCATGCTGGGCCGGGCCGAGAACGACGCCACCCTTTTGGCGAAAGTCCAACTCAGTTTTCAAGTAATTTCGTCACAGAATCCTCAAAAAAAAAAGTAGTTTCGTCACAGAAAATGTTTTAAGTAACCAGGATGACTTTATCATTCGAGATTTCGAGAGTGGTTAACATATGTGGTGTGGTTGTGGTTGACATAACCAGGATGACAAGAGGACGAGGTCGATTGATTGATTGGTTTACTCGAGGCAGGAGGCGAGGAGAATCAACAGGACATGGTCCCACGATCCTCGCACTCGCAGGATGATTGAACGGGGGCGGGGGGGTTTCGAAGCGCGTCCTGCGGAATGCCAATTAGCAACAGAGCAAGCGACAAATGGAGATGAAGTTGCTTCAGATCTCAGGCCTCGATAGGCGCCGCGTTTTGAGAGTCACGGCACGGTGGTGTGGTCCAACAACGACTGAACGACGTGCTGCCAAGTCACTGCATAGGAAAATACCGTACGTGTATTCTAGGTGGTGAAGAAGATAGTTCCTGCGAGGTGCGGTCCATTATCATCGGGACGGAGACGGGCGGGGCCATGGGCGCAGCGAGTGCAAGACGGTGGCAAGACGCCAACACAAGACGTTCAAATTTCGAGGTCAAGTCATGGGACGCGAGGGCAGGTGGCTTGTGTGTGTGCGCGCGTTGTTTTTTCCCTCTTCAAAGACCGAGGACGAAGAGGAACTTGCGACGCGTCTTCTACGCGGTAGCCGGTAGGGAAAGGCCTGAGACAAAGGCTTGTTTAGTTGGGTGAATTTGGATTTTGGGGCTACTGTAGCATGTTCGTTTTTATTTGGTAAATAGTGTTTAAATATGGACTAATTAGGCTTAAAACGTTTGTCTCGCAATTTCCCACCAAACTGTGCAATTAGTTTTTATTTTCGTCTACATTTAATGCTCCATGCACGGACCGCAAACATTCAATGTGACAGATACTGTAGCAACTTTTTGGACTTTGGGGTCTAACTAAACGAGGCGAAAGACATCAGGCGCATAATGGTTAGTCAATTGGGAGCAGTGATGCTTTGCCAAAGGAACAGTAAGAGCTAGGCGTACGTGTCACCATGCCATCTGCTACTGCTACTGCTGAAAAGGATCCACTGGTAAAGTAGTAAACGGGAGAACATCAAAGCGGGCAGAAGGAGTGCAGGCGAAAGACGGGCCGCGTATGAGCTGAAGGCCCTAGATTAGCATTGCGCGCCTCACCAATCCAGTCTAGCCTAATCGAACATCAAAACAAACATGGGAAAAAGCATGCGCATGGACTTCCGGACTCCTTCGCTTCGGGCACTATTTTTAATGGACCACAGCCCATACAACCTATAAACGGCGCAACAGTCTCCACCTAATAGGCTTTCTTTTCCACGTCGTCGCTCGTCTTCCCGACGCGGCTGCTCATCTCCGCTCGCCTTTCTCTTTCGCCGCTAACTGCCTTGCTCCCTCACTGCCTACTTTTCTCCCTCACGCCCCGCCTGCCCGTGCCCGTTCTCTTTCTTCCCTCGCCGCTGCACCAGCCCGCCTTCCTGTCTTGCCTCCATGGTGCAAAGTGGATCTAAGTTAACACATCTATCGTGAGGTGTCTCTCGGCTATGAAATCCTCCACGGTGGGGTGTCTCTCTTTGGCTTGGCTCCTTCACAGGCAAGGGCGGCCGGATCTGTACTCTACAGTGGGTTATGATGTAGTATGTGATATGTTGCCACAGTCAATCTTGGTTGTTACAAGTTTTATGGCACTTAGTATAGAATTGGATTTTGCCATGTTGCAACCGTCGGTTTGAGATGTTGCAACAAGTTTTTTTTATGTTACATAGCCGATTTTGGATGTTGCAACAGTCGTTTTTGTGATGTTGCAACAGTCGATTTGAGATGTTTCAACGTGTTGCATCGGCAAATTATTGTTATGTCATATGGTTTGATCTTGAGATGTTGTGGTTTGAACGTGAAGCAAAAGGCAATGTTGCTGTACTCGAATCAGCTACATGCGTACATGTGATGTTCTAGCTTTAATGTTGCATAAGTTTATTTTCAATGTCGCATGCACTATTTTCTTTAACGTTGCAAACCGTGCTCTTAATGTTTCAAGCAATGATTAACATCTGATCCATTTGTCTGTCTTTCCATCTCTCTCCCTCAAGGTGCGGTGTTTGGGTGCTATAGGAAGCACAACCATACAGCAGCCTGCTCATTTGCAATTGATGTTCACAAGTTATTGTAGAAACAGCCAAAACAGTTGCAGCAAGTAGCTACAGCAAGCATAACCATAATTGCTAAGGTTTCACTATTGTATCACAGGAGAAAAGAGAGAGCGATGGGGTGGGACGGATAGATTGAAAGCGTCTGGATCTGAAAGGGGAGTAGCAAACAGGTAGAGCCAAACCGTCCGAATTATTTGTCTATATCCGGACGTTCGGACTCTAGTGTTATCTTTTCCTTAAAGAAACTTTGCTTGGGGACTTTGTTCCACCCATAGAAGTACTTCAGAGCGTTCGGCTGGCTGGCTGGGCTGAGCCCGGCTGGCCAGCTCACTCACATAAACACTATTCACGTTCAGATAGAACAATATTTTTCTCACACAATAATCAGTCGGAACCGTATTTTTCAGTGCTGCCGAATATGCCCAGGACGACCAGAAGCATTGACCTCGGGAAATTGGTGGGAACGATTTGCTGCCGAAAGAGCCGCTCTGTTTAGACTTCTTTCACACGGTAAACCCAATTGCAAGGTCATCATATTACCAATCGTCCGTGACCGTGAGCGAGGAGGCGGAGGCGTTTTCCTGGTCCGCGCTGGCCGCTGGCCCAGCATCACGTTCTGACTGGCTGGCACCTGGCAGCTTCTCCGCGGCCGGCCGGCCGGCCGTACTCCTACCTTCAGCTAGCTCCTGAGTTGACAGTAGAGGCAGCCCGCGAAGAAAAGTCCAAGATGCGAGAGCCGCCGCTGTTTAGGAGTACTCCGTATTATGTGGCAACTCGACGTCTCGATCTCTCATAAGTGGACAGTAGGGACCGCCGTGCCTGGCCGGAGCGCAATAGCCCGCTGGTACCTCACCTGTGTGTGTGGTTCCTGTCCATCACCGAGCGCCAACAGCCGCTGCTGTAGCGCGACCGCGACACTCGACAGGCTGCAGCTGACACGTCCGCCAGGCAGGGTGTTCCTTTCCTTCCCTCCAGCCTCCGGGCCCAGCCGTCCAGCGGCACAGAGATAAGGCCGGGCGGGCCGGGCCCCATCTTATCGCGCCGCGGATTCCTTCACCTCCGAGCCGGGGGGCCAAGGCCGGGGATCGAGAAGAACATGATCGCCCGTCTCGGCACCAAATCGCCCGCCCAAATCCCTCGCGCTCCACGCACGCAACGGAATCCTCCTCTTTCTTCTCCCTGTTCCGCCGCGCGACTTGCCTCGCGGTCGCGGCTGGGCTGCCTGGCTGCCTGGCTCCGTGCGCCCGCGGCGGTGCCGTCCGCCACCAAACAACCGTCCAAGGGCTTCGTTTTCTTGTTCACGTGGGCGCGCGCCGGGGACAAAATCTCGAGCCCGTGTCCCAGCGTCCTCGTCGCCCGTGGGCCACTGGACACTGGTGCGGGGGACCCGGGGAGGGGACGTTTCGTTCACGACCTCACGCGCGCGCTCACGATTCTCTGCACTAGCGCACTCGGACAAGATGGCGTCGTTTGGCTGTTAGCTGAGAACTGAGGTGGTGGTTAACTCTGGGCATAATTAATCGAAGATCGAAGACTGAACTGAAAAGATTGAGACCGAGACTGAAAAGACCGAGACCGAAAAGTTCGGTCATGAGTTCGGTTCTGGCTCCCAACTAACCGAAGTAACCGATAGAAGTTCGGTCATATGTGTCGGTTAACCGAAGTGACCGAACTGACCATAGTTCTGTAGACTTCGTTCGTAATGTCATTATGTGTGATTGTGATTTATGAGAGCTGAGAAAGTTGTGTGCTAGAACTTGTCATAATAATGTGTGGTTTGTTTTATATATTGTGTTGTTATTTTTTTGCCCTCAAATAGCAAGCATGCTGTTGAAAATTGCTATAGATTCTGCTATTGTTTGTGGCTGCTACTCAGATCCGGTTAGTTCGGTCGTAACCGAGACCGAACTGAACTAACCGAGACCGAACTTCCTCGGTCTTCGTTATTTGCAAAGACCAATCGGTCCCAGGTTTCTGATGACCGAACTAACCGAATGACAGAGGAACCGAACCGATCGGTTCGGTCTGACCGAATGCCTAGGGTGAGTGGTGGCAACGAGTTGTGGTTGTGGAGGACATGCCGACTGGAATCGGTGACGGCGGCCGGCACGGGAGAGATTACATTAGACCAGTCTAACTCCAGCACTCACGCTCCTCTGTGTGGATAATAATATGCAAGTTGATCGCAGGGAGCCAATGCTTACAGTAGGGCGATTGTCCTGTTCACTTGGCTCGTACTTTTTCAGCCAACCACCAATGAATAGTATTTTCTCTTATAATAAATCAGTTAACAGTACTTTTATTCATATCTTATCAGTCAAGCGAACCGGGCATATATTTTTCTCCCCCGTCGCCAGTTAGTGGCGACAAATGCTTAACAGCGGCGATATACCAACCATATCAAACGGAGATCAGCACGTTAGCTCACGGTGGGCTCCCCGCGGCCCCACGCACCCACTCCTGCAGCGCACTGATACTTCTATGGCTCCGTTCGGCTCGCTTCTTTTTTTTCAATTGAAACCGTGTTTTTCTAAGCCAACAATTTAGTCAAAACAGTATTTTTCGACCAGTTTCAGCAAACCAATAGGGCCTATATCCATATCCTAACGCTAAGCATCCTGAAGACACTACACTGGCATCATCGCTCTGCGAAGAATGCATGCATGAACCTAAGACATCAGCACGCAGCAGCACAACTTGATGTAGAGTACACGTACTGAAAGTCAAGTCTTTTTTTTTAAAAAAAAAGAAATGCATAGCTTGGGGAGAATTAGAAAATCAAGGCCAATCGTCAGCGACAGACCTCAACGGCGTCATCTTGGCACAGTGCTTGCTACACCGAAGCCATTTCTAGCCTCCGTAGGCCTGTTAGGATGCAGTTATGTGGCACGGTCAACTTCATTATCAGCGATAAATATGTGCGACGACGCATGGCGTGGGCAACCCTCCGCCACGGCTTTTTCTCGGTTTGCCCTTCCCCCAGGAGGCCAGGACTTATCCAAAACCCAATTATGCACGTAACATAATGATGCCAACCAAACCAATCCAGAACATTAGCCGCTTAATCAAAGTCAGAAGATCCGCCGGGGCGCCGGCTGACCCCTATCTCATTCTCATATCATAGCAGTAAACTAGCAGCAGTAATAAAAAAGTTACAGCCTCCTCTAGTCCTGTTGCAGTTGCAGATGGGACAAGGCGAAGACGGAACGAGCTCGTGCACCGCCTCGAGCACTCGCCACTCGCCACGTGTCGAGAGAAGGCCCACTTATCTGTCCTCGGGTGGAAGGCAAGATGCGGAGTACCAGTACTACAGCTCGGCTCCAGTAGTAAAAAGTAAAAAAGAAATCGGGTACCAGAACAGGTTGTACTACAGTCATGGCGCGCACAGGCAAATGCGCACAGCAAACGGCGCGAGTCGCGCCATTTTTTGATTCTCTGCATCGGCAGGGGTAAATCGAGGTAGGCAGGCGGTAGGCGAGCCACACCGCCTGGCCGGGCCCTAGTACCGGGCGAGCGCGCGGCGGAGCACCTGGGCGAGGAGGCCTGGGGCGCTGAGGTGCGGGAGGTGGCCCTCGGTCTGGAGGAACTCCACGGTGGTGCGGCCGCCGAGGTGGGCCTTGAGGTAGGCGGCGACGGACGCCGGGACGGAGACGTCGCGGGTGGTCTGCACCACCACGCAGGGGGAGCGCACCATGCCCAGCACGCCGCGGAGGTCGGTGTTGAACACTGTGCGGCCGACGTGGAGGGAGATGTCCGGCCGCATGTTGAAGAGGGTGCGGCTGAACTCCTGCACCGCCGCGGGCACGTCCGCGCCCACCGCCAGCGGGGCGTACCCGACCGCCCACGCCGAGTAGTTGGCCGCCATCGCGTGGAACACCTGCTGGATCTCCGGCAGCTCGAACCCGCCGTGGTAGTCGTCGTCGTTCAGGAACCTGGCGCCGCCCGGGCCGGAATGAATTCATCAATCAATCATCACTCTTATCTTATCTTAAACAAAAGAGGGATGGATGGCGGCTTTTCTTCTCTCCTTCCCGCCTCAAATTGAACTCCAGAGGTTGGGTTGATTGATGAAATCGAATGAATGAATTCGATCGGCATCACGGCATGTTTGTAGATAGATGCCTATATACGGTACCTGGGCGATGCGCCGATGAGGACGAGCTTGGCGAAGAGCTCGGGGCGGCGGATGGACGCGAGTATCCCGATCATGGCGGAGACGGGTGTCCGACGAAAGCGCAGCGCGGGATGCGGAGCGCGTCGAGGATGGCGAGGAGGTCGTCGACGTACGAGTCGAGCGTGTCGTAGCGGCGGAAGTCGAAGTGCTCCGGGTTGACGCTGCCGGCGCAGACGAGGTCGTAGAGCACCACGCGGTGGTCGCGGGTGAGGTAGGGGAGCACGCGGCTCCACGCCGACTGGTCCGTCCCGAAGCCGTGGGACAGCACCACGACGCGGTCGCCGTTGCCCACGACCCGCACGTTAAGGATCTGCAGCAGCTTGGCGCCGCTCGTGCCGCCGCCGCTGCCCGCCCCCGCCGCCGCCGCGCCGCCGCCCCCGACCATCGCGGCGTCGGAGCTGGACGACGCTGGCTGCCGCTGAGCTGCTGCCGCTGGTGGGGCTGGGTGGGTGCGTGGACCGAAGCATGAGTAAGACCAGGACGGGTGGGGGACGGACTACTGGGAAGCAGGGGCGTCTGGGGCGGTCTTATATAGCAGCTGGAGCAGAGGCCATGGGGACAGGGGTTGGCTTGCTTCTCTCCTCTCTCTCTCTCTCTCGGAGCAGAGCAAGCTTTCCCTCCTCCCTTTTGAATTTTGATCTCCGGCTGGCTCTCCCTCTCCGCGTGCACTCTGCTTTATTCCTCCATCTCTCTCCTCCTCCTGGGTTTGGTGCGGGGGGGAGTTACCGATTGGATGACGAGAAGTTTTTGGTTGTGCCAGCGAGGAGCAAGAAGAGCCTTTTGTTTGGATGCCCAATTATCCAGACCACAGCAGCAAACAGTAGTAAAAAGGAGATGCTTTGTGATTTTTCCTAACAAAAGAGCTGGTTTTGTATGTTGCCGTGGCTAACCCTGCCAGCGCGAACAGCCCAGTGAGTCTGAGTCCCTGGCAGGGCAAGACACAACTGGAGTACGTACTCCCTACGCAAGTGTAGAACCCCGATCTAGTATAAACGGCTCGTGCCGATCGAGCTGGGATTGTGTAGCAGCAGATAACACGGGCATGAACAGACCTTTGTGTTGTTTACTGGCAAGTTGCGGTGATGGAAGAATGGAGTCAAGCCAAGGCGCCCACAGAACGGAAAAGCGCCCGGTTTTACCCAATTAACTGAGCTGGTTTTGGCCCACGTACGCACGCACGGCACGCGCCCGGCGACAGGAGCAGGATGCGTGAATCCCATGGCGCCGCGACCCATTGGACGAGAGCTCGGGCCAATCGGATTGGTCTTGTCGTGGGGTGAGAAAGGTCGCCAACGACGACGAGGCTCAGACTCCAGTGGATAAGAAATGCGTCGTCGTCGCGAGCCACGTGAAGCCAAGCCCACGTCGCCGTCCGTCGACGGGCCGGGGCCCCGGGGGGGCTTGGCTTCCGATCGAGTGGCGTCCTATGGCAACAACAGCCGAGCGAGCGGCCTCCACGGCTCCACCCACCACCGATCCACACAAATACTTCGTGCTTCTGCGAGCCGGTGTGTGTGTAGCTCGATCAGCCTCGCTAGCAGCAAGTTTTGCTGACGCTCTCCGGGTCCGCTGGGCCAAGGCCAATCGATCACCCCCAAAAACGCGACGAGCAGACGCTTGCTCCACGCTGCGGGCCAAACTTGGCCACTGTCACCGTGGGATCCTACTCGATCATAATAACATTATAATCCTCCAAAATATTTCTGTATCGCATGCGTCGTGTTGTGTTCGAGCTTGTCCATATTCATCCCTATCTCTCCCGGGCCTGAGGTCGTCTGAGCACACATCATCAGCCGAAATAATATAAGTACTCCTTGATAGCCTGTCTGAACACAGGCATCTATCCGATCCATCGCGTACGAGTACGTACCCCGTACTGCAAATATATGGTAGTTCTGCACCTGCGTGCAGTACGTATCTGCACAAGATTGTATATGTCGCCACCGGAATTTGACTCTTTCCATGGATTGGACTTGCGGAGCGAGATACTATATGCCGTTTCACTAGCTAGTGCATGCGAGCTTTACGCGGATTTACACCTCCGGCCACACCCCTCGGCGCCGACCGATTCCGAACAAAGAAAGACAGATACCGCAACGGCCCTGTATATATAATGAATGATCGTATCGTACACCACACGCATGATATACTCCTGGGCCTACAATCCTACAAGCTTTCTATCTATCTATCAATCTATATATACCTGCTGAAAGCTATTCGTGGATATATATTGATGAAAAGATTTTTGAAAGAATGGATTCCATTATAATACTACATATATACTCCTAGTTAGGAACAATACATTTGTTGTAAAATATGCGAACTCTATCCTAGAAGGAAAGGAGAAGGAGCAATCCTAATTTTAGTCCGTTTGCATGTGAGCTTTTACCAAACTCTTAGGCCTTGACAGAAATATATATATATATATATATATATATATATATATATATATATATATATATATATATAAGCTCTATATTGTAATTACCAATATATTCAGAGAAATAAAGAATAGTCTTCCTATCTCTTGTGTCTATATATTCTACTTTCATCTATTATGTTGATCATGAGGGACGGAGAGGAAAAAGTCATAACCGCTGGCAACATGTTTTATAACACGTTAGAACATATAATTTGAAAATCCACTAAGAAAGAATTATAAGTATTCAAACTCTAATATAAATTTGATACACTATTTAAAAGATATTGAATATTATAACTTATTTACCCCCATAATTCTTTGAAAGGATTTTTTTACCCTGAAGGATAAATTTTATTTGTTTTGCACAACTAATAAGTGGTTATTTATGCATGAAGCATATTGCTCTTGTTTACTCGTATTATAATTCATTGAATAATGGTAAGCCAACATTTTGGTATTATGGTACTGCATACCATTATTAAGCACACATTTAGACATCGCCAGATAAGCAGCGACCATACACACCGCCGCTCATGTCGGTGTCCCTGCCATGACTACCGGTGACGATATCCCGACGTTGTTAGTGGAACGGATATGCTACCTCTACCTTTAACTAATCTACACTGCATCGTCGTCGTCAAGCAAGCAGGTCTACGACAATGCCAAATGGCCTACGCGGCACGTGAGGTAGATCAAATCAGCATCCTCTATAAGGTATGAAATAATCGCATCTTGTAGATTGCGTTTGTAGTCTCGACCACCGAGCGGGGCTAATGTTTTGCCCTAATTATCTGGACCGGAAACTGTGTGTGTGTATATATATATATATATATATATATATATATATATATATATATATATATATATATATATATATATATAGAACTACTACTACATGGTGGCTATAAAATAACTTATTACAGAGTTACTTTGAGTTACGATAATTACTATGTTAATTTACTTAGAGATTATAGTTACTCCTTCTTGAGTGGTTTACTATAACGTTATGGTAAATATCCCCATGTGTTATAGTAACCCAACTATCGTAAATATGTATTGATATTATCGTAAATTAGTATATAAAATTATTGTAAATGGAGGTGGATACGAATAACTTATTTTGTAACGGACTAGCGAATATATTCTCCATATATATATACATAAAGCGTATATCCTACACAGAGCCGGCAGCTATATACTCTGTATACTTGCACGTATAAGATGAACTTGTACTAAAACATGCTAGAACAGAAGTACGCCGCAGTTGTTGGCTCTTAAGCTGCCGGCGTCCCCGTGGCTATCACCGACCAGCAAGTCGTTGCCGCAATCGTCCCGAAGAACGTATACATGCGAGAATAAATATAAGTATATCTGTATACGTTGACTTGCACGTCACCAGTATTATAGCCTTAAAAAAAAAGGCAAAACAAGAGTATGTATGGATTTGTCTTTGTGGCAGAAGAAGGAGGCCGGCCGTAGACTAGAAGTATATATGCATGCACATCTGAATCCATCTAATAAAGTCAACAAGACAGGCTAGAATCAGCAAGGACATATCTAGCGTCCACGAGCCTGCAGCATCTAATACAGTTTATTTATGCATCTAATACAGTTTATTTATGGATCCTGTTCGCTTCTCTTATAATTTCTCTTTTTAGCTTATTTTTTTAATAGAAATAATATTTTTCTTATAATAAATTAGTCGGAACAGTATTTTAATTTATTTTTTCAGCGAAGTGAACGGGCTGTGTGCCACCCGAAGCTAAGCCGAAGCCACGTCGCCTGTAGCCGGACGCCGCCGCACCGTGTGTCGCCTGAAGCAGCCGGCCTGAAGCGTCCAGCTCCACACCTTGCGCGTGTCCTCTCGAAGAAGGACGCCATCGCGATGACCGAACTGTATTTTGCGCTTGGTGTAGCCCAGTCGACCTCGCACGAGCGTCGGCATCGTGTCCTCCGCGTCGCTGAGCATATCCTTGCCTCACACGCGATTGTATAATCCGGCCTGAATGCCGCTTACTCGTCTATGTAGAAATATACGTGGATAACAACTCAGAAGAACTTTGCATTACAGAAAGCAAAATACGGCGTGAAGCTGTACCGATATTGTCTTTGATCCCGTTGATCATTCAGTTGTTAGATCAGGCGAACAGGAACATGTAGTTCCAATATGCCAATCTAGGTCTTCGTTCGGCTTGAAATTTTTTGCAACCTGTAATTTCAACATGTATGATGGATTGTTAACTTGATACTAGCATGCAGCTCGTCACCATGGCTAATCAGCAGGCTTGCAGCTACAGTTACCACAAGTTATCTTGAATTTCTGGAAGAAAATTATGTATAGGCATTTTCAGTAAAATACTTCTGTTTGAATACATTTACATGTTTATTTTCTGTTGATCTATATGTGCCATGTGATATTTTTATGCTCTTTTGAATGCATCTATTTATCACATATTATGAATTATATATACCATGTAATTGCAAAAATAAAATCTCGAATGATTACACCAGATGAAACATGGTATAAGGTATATGGGTTCTCTAAATCTCGCGGACCTTAGACTTATCACCTTTAAGAGGCTCATATTTTTCCTAGCATAATGAATTTTTTGATGCACGAATGTTTGGCATTAATTCTAAAAATTTGCATATACCATAATCCCGGAAAATGCTAGGATGCTTCTAAGAATATTTTGTATAACCATCTACTATCTTTCTGCACCTTACTACTTGTTTACACGTAATAAACCTATAAGCACGTGATGATTCTGGTTATAATGATATACTGTATATGCATACCTTCATGAAGAAGACCGTGATGATTCCGGTTATAATGATATACTGTATATGCATACCTTCATGAAGAAGAAATATCCTGGAATTACTTTGAATAGTAGAATTATTGTTATGACTATTATTAAATCCATGTAGGATATTTTGCTACCATTGAAGTGTAGTGAATT